TGATTTCATATACCCTGTTCCAGAGCAAGCGTGATTTCATATACCCTGTTCTAGAGTAGAATCGCTTAAAACCATACCCTGTTTGCGGCACGTACCCGTATAGAGAATATAGGGGAGTATCTCCCCCCCCCCCCCCCCGAGGGGTTGAAAACTATATAACTAATATTTATTTAAATATTAAAGACTATAGACCTTTTTCGAATTAGTCAAATACCGCTGTGCTCTTTGAGTACAGACTCACTTAGGGTTAGCCTCGAATCAGAGTTTAAATATGGCAAATACCAATGGTAAAGTAAAGAATCCACAACTTTAACAGTACAAACACTTTTGACATTCCACGGAACTTCACTTGAACGCATGAATATTCAAAGTAATTCCATACGAAATCGAGGCTAACTCTGTAGAACAGAGAATTTAAAATTTTACTGGAATAAAATTGCGAGTGTAATCAAATGGTATTGATTTGTCTATTGCGCAGTAGCTACTTTCCCCAGACGTCGTCACCCAGTATGTATCATTCCCTGGAAGAAGCGTCAGCCATCAGTAAAAACAAGCAGAAAGAAAAAAACAACAACCAAACAAACAAAGCCCAAACCCCCCACGAGGTCCGACAGCATGGATGCCTATTACGTGACAAAGGTAGATTGCGTGACGTCCACATTAGAGAAGAGCAAAGTAAATGGAATCAAGCTGAGAATTCGACCTAAGATTCCACTACAGTCACAGAGCACTAAGTCTCACCCAGCTATGTTCTATAGTTATTTCGTATCTAAAGGCTGTCAGTATCGCAAGGCGTGTGCTCCGAAAAGAAGATCATGTGATGGATTCTTTGGTTGTCACGATGGCGAGGATACGAAGGAATGTAAAGGAGAATGTAAAGGAAAGCGTAAAGGTATGTAGTGGGCGAAAAGCCTTTACATTACTCCCCCTTCTATCCCATGTTTCCAGGGTCCTTTTGGTGACCCTGCCAGTCAAGTCGTTGACATAATCTGCATAGTATTCTATTCACATCGGTCTCACTGTACTCATGCATGAGTATGGGAGTAGACCTGACGGAGCTTTTAAAAAAACCAAAACAGAGCAAGGGTGCGTAGGGTGGAGAAAAAATGAAAATAAAGAAAGCTACCGCAAGTCGAGGGAGTACAGAAATACTACTCAGTAAAGTACTTGCATGGAAAATGCTAAAAATACCGTTACGGCCTTTGCATGGTTCAGAGAGCTAGATAAAAGGTAATACCAATTGTGCTGCCATACCCTGAGCAACTTTGCCAAAAAGACTACTAAATCTAACCAACAAGTGCCTGCAGAACAATGTATATTCCTGCGTAGTATAATATGAAGAGAAAACGGAAAAACATACAAAGAGGAAATGGCTCAGGGGATGACAGTCTTGAGCGTCGGTAATCCACCGGACTAGTTCCCTGCTAGCAGAGCCTATTTTCCTTTTGTTTTGGTTGAGAGAGAAAAATAGACTCTGCCGATGTAGGACGTTATTTTTGTCGCGCATGCGTGGCGTAACTTAGCAACGCCACGGTGTGTTACATTTGCTCATGCGCACTATATGTAATCGGTTAAAAACCGGTTTTAAAATTGGCTTTGTTCGTACACGATTGTGGACGGCGGTGTATCAAAGGAAACGCTCTACATCGGCAGAGTCTCCTTCCTCCCCGCCTGAAAGAAGGGAGAGAAGAGAAGAGAGACTCTACTAGCTGGGAACCGGACTAGGGAATAAGACTCCCTTTCAAAACTGTCATCCTAGAGCGGGTGGTGATTTGACTAGAGCGGGTATTTGATTGCATTGGTGAGTAAATTCACGAGCAATGCGATTGGTCTGGCGTATCCCTTGCAGTGTTACAACCGTGCTCATGCACAAGAAGTGAAAGTGTCGAAATTGAATCAAATATTCTGGTTGCTTGGTCAAGCTCAAAATATTCCAAGTCAGAGCTCCGGGGAAAGAAAAGAACAGTTGCGATTACATTGCTGTTTCCCATAGCCTCGACTCGAAACATTTTGTGCAAATTGACCACTCAACCAGAATATCAAAAGTTGGCTATAGTGGCTTTGCACCATCACGTGATGGCAGCCATGACAGGAGGCACAACAATAGAATTTTTTCTCCCTGGGAAACTGAATTCTTTCTTGTGTAAATCAGATTAGACCAGATTCAATTGTTTCTGTCATGGCTGCCATCAAAGCCTTTATTGGTATCGGACCTGTGGCAAAAAGTTGGGTTGGACCGTAACGAGTTGGATCCAGTCCCCCCATCTTCTAAAGTGAAACGATTCATTGCTAAAGCACATTTCTTTTTACACAGGGAAAAAGAAGCAATCCAACAAGTGACGATAAAGTGACTCGGCATTAGATATATCAACTGGTTCGAAGCTGCTATGTATCTGGCTCTAAATAATATTGATACCAGTAAATACTAATCGAGTGATGTAGGACAAAATTTTGCGGATTTTATTGGACAAAAGCCACATCATCATAATTAAGTAGTTATTATTCTTACAATTTGTATTATTATCTATTATTGAATTATCAATTGCAATTACGATTTTTATCATCGTTAGGTTAGTTTTTGTATTGTAAATTTATTAACCGGCATCGTCATTAAAAAGTTTAATATTACTATTATTATTACCTCTGAATAATGGGGTTAATATCATGTTTTTATTAAATATTATATTTGAATGATGGTCAATAATTTTTCATGAATTCGCAAAATAAAAAAATACTAGACGAAAAAGAGCAGAGAAAAAAGAGAAAAGTAAAAGAAGAATAGCTCGTGTAACAAACATTAAAAATAAACAGCTTTTAAAACAACGATGAAGCACGAAAAAAWATATATACTCAAATTGACACATGAAAAACTAAGATATACTCAACTCATAACGACCAGTCAAGCGTCGACCTGAAAACATTAATGAATAGACATATATATTAAAAGTGAAAAATAAAGTACGGTTAAAGGAAGTGGAATACTGTTATTCATTGAATATGCACCGCAGTACTCGAGACCTAATTCCTTATAGCCCCGTTTACACTGGCGMTTTTTGCGGCGACTTTTGCTGCAATTTTCATGGCAATTTTCGGAAATATGAAATCTTTTGTCTCATCCTTCAAAAGAGACATTCGTCTAGGACAATCTTGGTATCCTGAAAAAAACTTTACAAGTAAATTTTTTACCATTATTTATTATGGACAAAATTGCAAAAAACTCGCAGCAAAAATCGAAGCAAAAATCGCTAGTGTAAACGGGGCTTGTGACCAGCACCCTGCATTGAGCGATAGGTTCTTATAAATCAATACGGCAAACAAGTCGTCTTTTATTGTTCACCTGACAAAATTACTCGAATCTGATTGGTCGAAATACATACACACAAAAAATCTCTGTTTTTAACTTACAAAGGACATACTTGTAAAACAATTCAAATACTACGCGCGATCTGATTGGTCACAAATTACTGTTTTATATTCCTTAAATATATAATACTATAGACCTTTGTTCACAATTTAAACCTCACTTCGGTGCGATTTTTGAATTTGGTCTATAACTTTCACAAGTAAGCTTTTTATTCATGTTGATTGTCCTTAGATATATATTTTATTAAATATGCTAAAATGGAAAATCGCACACGACCTTCTCGTACAAATCGTAATTAATAGGTGCTCGTAAAGCGGTGATGTTTTGAAAGTTCTTACAGTAATCAAATCCTACTCGCCTAATTAATTAAAGGTTCGTGGCTTGTGCAATTACAAGAACTTGCAAAACATCAATCGTACTTTTTAATAACGAATATTGTACTTGATTCATGCGATTTCCTATACTAATTAAACTGATGTGGAAAAAAATTAATGGGAATAACTTATTTGAAGTCTGTATAGCTCTTTGTTTCCAAGGTGAGCCGCGAGATCTGCGATCTGAAATGGTGTGATCGCCCGGGTGCCGTAGTTTTGAGAAAGACTATTGTTGGGTGGTGACTGACGTTTCGACAACCTGAGCGAAAGTCTTCTTTGTGGAAGTCATTTACTCTTATATTGTCTTTATGTCAAGGAAAACATACAAAAAGCCGTCCGATTTGATCTGCACTGACTACCTCTGACTACCTAAATAATAAATAATAAATCATAAACTTATTACCTGTGAGTTGAAAAAGCTCAAAGAAAACTCGAGCTGTCGACGCAGTGTTCGTACCTAAAAGGTACGACAGCATATGGCCGAGTCGAACTGGAAAAGAGTTTTAAATTTATATTAAATGACTTATTGAATATTTAATAATGAACTTAGGTGTTCATCATGTTTAGACTGCATAAAGCAAAACGAATAACGATCGCCTGATGATATCACCACTGAAATTAACTTGACAGAATCAACAAGAGTTTTCTCTCTGTTTTAAAACAAGTTCAAATAGGTTTTGCCGGACACAAGAGTTTAAAGACGACTTTTAGCCTCAGCCTCTGAAAAACTCATTGAAATTTGAGGCGGACGTTATTTAGACTTCAAGTCAAGAACTAATCAACAAAAAAAGAAGGTAAAATTTAGTCCTGACGACATTATTCTGTTGTTTTTAGGTTGTACGATTCTTCAGCAGTGTACGAAGGGTGGATAGCACTACCACTATCCAGTGGATAAATTTGTTGGATAAGAGCATCGACTCGCGATAAGGATTTTTTCGTAGCGTATACTGTAGCTAGTTATCCATCCTTCAAACAACCGTTTCCAGACGACTTGAATCTTTACTTCGTACTGTGGTCTCCAGTCAATGCAAAACAGTATCCACCGTTCTTTGAACGTTTTTTTACAGGGCCAACCTAAATGACTTGAATTTATAGCTTGTGTCAGCGGATTGAGCATCTAGTCGTGCTGGTCGATCGACATTTTCTTGTCGATGACCATTTTGAGGTGTTACGTAAAATGACTTACTTTCAAAATAATTTTAACTCCGAGTTTCATTTATTATCGTCGTATCATAAACGAGGGATACTTTTTCGTGATGGGTTCGGAATTTGCACACAACTTTTGATCCCTGTTCCCAAGAGTTTGGGGACATAAATCATGTAATATGATAATGACCTATGGATTGATCCCAGAAGTATTTCTTGATCCCTTGAATTTAGTCATAAGATCCGGGGGGGTACTCCTGCCCGTTTAGGGTAGGGATGTGCCGCTGAGCCCTCTGAACCCTGACTCTGTTCCAGAGTAAAATCGCTGAAAAATTCATACCTTGTTCCAGAGCAAGATCGCTGAAAACCATAACCTTTACCGGTATTGCAAAAATGGATACCCTGTTCCAGAGAGGAGAGAGCGTGATTTAGTATACCCTGTCCCAGAGCGAGCGCGATTTTATATACCCTGTTCCAGAGTAGAATCACAGAAAACCATACCCTGTTTGGCGGCACGTACCCGTATAGCGAATAGGGGAGTGCCCCCCCGGAATAAGATCCCGACCTCTTCTTTGATATCTGATTCGGAGTGTGTGATTGTGATCCCAAGCACGCGATCCCTGATTCAACATTTCTCGTCGATCACGACCCTGACATACGTTTAGTTTCTGCCTGCAACTGAGCAACACTTAAGATTTAATCTGACAGACGTTTAATTAAAACCAGGATTAACACTATCATCTAATATTTTATCTGCCACTTCTTTCCACTTCTAGTCTGAGCATCCGGTAAAAGATCTTTTAAATTGAAATCCTATGTCAATAGAATTATATATTATTATTCACGGTGTGATATGCAGCAAACCATTTAATATGCCACCGTTGCGGCGAAACACTAGGAAATCTTGATTGAATTTAAATATTAATGTCGAGCAATATTGTTTGCCAAACTTGCCTTTCATTAAAATGTGAATTGAGAAAATAAAATTATTAGTGTATTAAATTAAAAGGTTTAATATGAGTCCAAATACTTTTTTGTGATCAAATTTGGAAACTATGACATCACAGATTAAAAATTTGTTGTATTTTATTGATCATATTTTTCATGTCTTTTTTTTTTTTTTTTTTTTTTTTTTTTTTTTTTTTTTCGCATGTCTCATTCGATTCCCAGATCCAGGTTTCTCACGATGAACAATCGCCAGGTGCTGTTATTCACGGCGGGGCTGTTGACTGTCATGATAACACTAGTATGTCAAGACTGTCATGGTAAATATAATACACTTATAAGTTGATTTACCATTTACTTTAGGCTCATGCATAACAATGATAATAATAATAATAATAATAATAATAATAATAATAATAATAATNATGATGATGATGATGATGATGATGATGAGAGATGATGATAATTATGATGATGATAGATGATGATAATGATGGTGATGATTATATATAGGTATTGCGCAAATTCCATTTTATGCACTAGCGTGGTCAAACGCGTAAAGCACTTCTTCAACAGTAACTTTAGCACAGCAATTCTTGACCATCCCACACCCCCCTTCCCTCGTTCTATTCAAAAACTGAACTAATTTTTAAAATCGTTTGTTTAAATCTTTTCAGCAACAAGGATCCTGATGCATAACGTCTCATCTGAGTATAAACTTCGACGAGAATTGCTGACCAACTATGACCGTCTTGTTCGTCCCGTGTTATCACCGCTGGCCGTAGTGAACGTGTCATTCTTAGTTAAACTTCTTAGTATTTCAGATGTGGTAAGTGTCATAATTCCGTAAGGTTGCTGTGTAATTCCTGTGGTTGCTATACGGGGTTGGTGCAATTATAAAGTGTGACTGTGTAAATCGAAACGGTTTATGGCGTCAGAAAGCTGGCCGTTCTATCTGCAATCTGTCTTGCCTTGCCTTTTCTTTTCTTTTTCGCTTTCATTTTACTCTCCACTTTCTCTCGGCCAAACTACTCTACACAAAGGCAGCCATTAAAGATTCATAAAATATACCTTTTTAGGCCTCTATCAGAAATTGACATAAAGATCCTATCCCCCCTCCCTATGATCGTTGTACAAGGCGCATAACGCGGACAGAACATTCAGTATTGGTGTTTTTATGATGGTTTTTGCAGGACAGCAAGAACGAAGTTATGACCTCTAAAGTCCTGATAGAACAGGTACATTATTTCTTCAATTTAGCTTTGCGATATCATTGTGACTTTAAAAAGACATTATAGCTGCTTAAAATTGTTATAGATCTGGGAGAATCCATATCTCAAATGGGACCAGTCCCACTTCGACGGAATCAACCGCGTTCGTATGAGCAACAAGGAAGTCTGGGTACCGGATATAAAGCTACAAAACAGGTATCAGTCACGTGATTAAGAATTTAACAGATTTAAGAATTAATGAGTAAAGTATTAAATTGCAAATTTCATTTGGTTTCTCACAGCGCAAATAATCCATCACAGGACACCCAACATCTGCACGAGAACTGGGTTACTGTCTATAGCAATGGTACAAATGTCTGGGTGTCCATAGCCATGATTTCCAGCAAATGCGACTTTGATATCAGCGTTTTTCCATTCGACGAACAAAAATGTTCAATTGTCTTTGCATCTGAATCGTACGACACGGAATTACTCGATATCTATCTGAAGCAAGGTAAAAATTCGTACGCTATTTTGTGACCCAATCTTTCTTTAGCTCGTATTCTAGTTGAGCCCGCGGCTCAGCGTTATCCCAAATTATAAGCGTACATCGAGAGGAGGGTATCAGCTCACAATAAATTCAAGAAAATCGATGTAATATATATGGACTTCCGAAGAACACCAAAAATTATCAGTCTTATGAAACAAACTCCATATATCTTACATAGTTTTTCTTGAAATTTATCGCGAGGGCGAGCCGATACTCCTCACTTCGATATACGCTCATTTAGTATACCGCTGGGCCATGGGCTCAACTGCTATACAAAGTAATAATCCTCAGTCATTAAAGATAAAATCTGACGTTTTTTTTTAGGTGATCAGCTCAACTTAGGGAAAAAACCCGTCAAAGAATGTAAGTTAAAAGAATGTTATGATAAATTTTTTACATGTTGAAAAGGGCGAAAAAAATTGTATTTCTTTTCTTCGGACAACCGAATAGTTGTTTGTGCATGGTTTTCTATTGATGGGTTTCCTGTGGTTTTGGCGGGAACATTCGTGTCATACGCGTGCGCTCGTTCGAGTCAGGGGTTGATCTAGAGTCTCTTGCTTTGCAATGTGTTGGACTAGAAGGAAGCCTGCGGAATACAAATAATATTCAATTAAGGTATTTGAAAATATTAATATACTTTTTCGCTTTTTAAAAAGTAGATCTAAAGTCAACAAGTAATGGAGAATGGGAGACTGGATCGTTCACTGCTTTTCGCCAAGTGAAGCAAAGTAGCTGCTGTTCCACACCTTTCGTACACGTCAAAATTCATCTACGCATAACTCGTATTCCTACCTTTTACATCCTTTACCTTCTTTCTCCTTTCATAGTTCTTTCTCTGCTTGTATTCTTCAGTTTTATCATCCCACCTGATAATGGCGAGAGGATAGGCTTTTGTTCCTCGCTTCTTCTTTCTCTCAGTGTCTATCTTCTTCTCTTCTCGGAACTCATGCCCAATAACTCTAGAAAGTTGAACCTTTTTGGAGTAGCGTTTGTGTTGATATTTCTTGAGTCAGCCGCGGTTCTCGTCGCGACTTTGTTTGTTCTTAAAGCATACCACGCGACGGGGGAAATTCCCGCAGTTTTTAAGCTTTTGCACTACTGTTCTTTTTTTCGTCTTGGTTCATCTATAAAGAAACGATACCCACTAAACCGAGCAAAGAAAAACCAGATAACTAATCGATCACACTCACTGAATGAAAAAGAGCCACCCCTCGGTATCAAGTCCGAGACAGCAGCTGAAGACATTTCATTAGCAAACGTGAATCAGGGAACTAGAATAGAACAACACGAACCTGACGAGGAACCTGGAGATGAGTTGACTTGGCGTAAAGTTGCTCGCCGCTTGGATCGCTTCTTCTTCTGGTGTTTCTTGTTTGCTTTTGTCGTTACTGTTAGTATAATAGGAATGTTGAACCAAGACTTAGGCGAAGTAGAAATTACTATTTAAACTAAGATCTATCGGCTATTCCGCAAGAATCCCTCTCTTGTATCTAAGGACTTTCTAAACATGACCGTCAGTTAGTTAACGGCCATGCAGTGGCTTCTACGGTAGGGCAATAAGCCTTTTCATAGTTTAAGAATCGATTCCACTGCGCATGCGATTTTATCCCGAATGTCTACCTTCTTTTGTCTAAACTTTCTTTTGTTCTTAATTAAACAAAAGAAGGTGAGAAATTCGGGATAAAATCGCATGTGCAGTGGAATAAATTCTTAAACTATGAAAAGGCTTATTATAACACAACATCGCTGTATACCTTTTCTTAAAAACTCAGGTCCGTAATCCTGAAGCAAATACTTCGGTCACAGAAATACAGAATCAAGAGTTAGAACTGAAGTCAGGCAAAATAATTTACATATGACATGACAAAAAAAGACTCTTCAAATATAAGGGTAAAGTGTATAGACTGTGCATATCAATAATGCATATCAATCAATAAAAAAATGTATTAATCGTGAAACTTGAAGTAATTGAAGTTCGAATTGATGCTTAGGTAAACATGGAAGAAAACAGACTTGCAAATGAAAAATAAGACTAAGACGTCAGGAAGGACTGAAAAACTCAATCAAAGCTGTTACCGGGGGGGGGGGGGG